CTGTCCTTTGTTCTCTGATTCCAGGTCGGGCGGGGTCACAGGGGTCACACTTGGACACTCTTAGGCTGGAATGTTGGCATGGGGTTCCAGGGCCAGGTGGGGTCAGGAGGGCATCTCTCTCACCCCAGGCCTGCCTGTTCAGTGCATTGTCATTGGGTACAGGTGAGGGCTCATTCGAGCATGGCCCAGCCCCGGTACACTGGGTAGTGCTCCACTGCCTCGTCTTCCCCTCCTGCCCCTGCTCAATTGCCCCGCACCACTTAGAGCAGCGGTTCTCAACCTGTGGGCCGTGACCCCTTTGGGAGTCCAACAACCCTTTCACAGGGGTTGCCTAAGACTATCGGAAAACACATATATAATTACATATTGTTTTTGTGATTAATCACTATGCTTTAATTATGTTCAATTTGTAACAATGAAATTGGGGGTCACCACAACATGAGGAACTGTATTAAAGGCTCTCGGCATTAGGAAGGTTGAGAACCACTGACTTAGAGGATGAGCTCCCACTCTGAGGGGGGCAGTAAGGGCTTCTTCTGCATCCTTCCCCCAGACAAAACCCCCCGTAGGCAGGGGGCCTGTCTGTCCCCAGACTTCTGACAAACTTCCTGCCTTCACCCCGAGTCAAGGTCCTTTTGGGAAAATGCATACTTTTTTCAGAAGTATTTCTCATGAAGAAGGTGGTCTCCGTCTTACCCTCCACTAGATTTCCCCTCCCTTCTGCTCCCCTCCTCCCTGCTGGCCTCTCTCCCCTCCCAGCCTTTGCCTCTCCTCTCTTTCTCCCTCCCCTCTCTTCTCACCCTCCTCCCTTCTTCTCCTCTCCCGGTTCCTCTCTCTCTTCTCCCCACTTCTCCCTTCAGGGCCCCATCGTTCCTGTGCCTTCCAATCGAACCTAGACTGGGGGTCAACTGAAAGGTCCCTGCCTTCCCTTCCTGGCTTTGCTGCCTTCCCTGGGTGTGAGTTGGATAAGGGCTTTCTGGCTTCTTCAACTCAGTGGTACCAACGGGAATAAATGCTGTGGCCACTGTCACCTTAAGGGAGGGGTTAGGGTGAAAGGGAACGGGCTCATCCCAATGAAGGGCTTCCATAGAGCTGCCTGGAGGAGACGGCATCTTTCTGGAATGTTGGTAGAGAAGACAGAACTGGGCTGGCGGGGGAGGAAGGGGAAAGTGGGGAATACCTCTGCCTCCATGGTGTCAGCCCTGCAGCCTGAGCACCAGCACCCCACTAGAGAGGCCGCCTCCCAGCACGAGGCACAGAAGACAGGGTTTGGTCAGCTAGCCGCCTTTAAGAGGGCCAGGCTCAGTTTCCCTTATAGGAGACGGGCGCCCACTGCAACTGGTGACCGTGGGTGGGAAGGAATGGAGCACTGAGAGAGCTTGTTGCTTCTCTCCAGTTATTCTCTTTATTGGGTGTGGGGTGGGAGAGAAATGGAGAGGAAGAGGGAGAGAGAGGGAGGGAGAGACCAACCAGGCTGTTTGCAGTGGCTCCTGGCAGGCAGGCATGCCCACGGTAAAGTAGGTGGCATAAATCGCGTGCGCAGTCTCAGCAGACGACCACTTTAAATCTTAATTGGTTGCCTTTTAAATATCACTTAAGGGTCTCTCTCTCTCTCTCTCTTTCTCTCTCTCTCTCTCTCTCTCTCTCTCTCTCTCTCGTTAAGAAGGTGTCGTGTCAAACTCTATTACCTTGCGGGCCGTCTCTTCCTTAAGCTAAAAAAAAAAGGAGAAAGGAAGAAAAAAAATGGAACCATCAACAGCGGTTTGAGGGTCGATAAAGCTTTTAGATTTGGAGGTTTCCGGGAGCCCATTTCCCGCGGCTAAGAGTTGTTAATGGAGCTTAAGGAATTATCTTAGACCCGCGCCCGCGCCCGCCGTATATTTCCCGCGCCTGTTCCCCTGTCGGCTGCGGATCTGCGGCTGTCAGAGTCGCTTAATGAAAAGTAACGCGCCGCTGATTGCAGTTTTATTTGGGCTCTATGTAAAGAGCGCCGTTAATTTAGCACCCTCCTCGGCGTGTTTGAATTCGCCACGCCTGAGTGGCTGAGCGCCGGGCCCGGCTCCTTCGCTGACAGCCGCCGGGGGAGTGACGTGGGGCCTCGCCGGGGACAGCGACCTTTCCCGGCGCGTCAGCCCCCACGCCCCGCTCGCCCCGCCCCACCACGCGGGGCCTTCCTGGCCCGACTCGCCCCCACCACCCCCTGCCGCGAAGAAGGGCCAGAGAGCGGGTAAGGCGCACAAAGCGAGTGTGCCCCCAAAGGTCGAGGTGTGGGGCGAAGGGACAGCCCCAGCTTCGGGCGTCCTTTGGGGTGCGTGGCCCCGGGATGTGGCTGAATCCCACCTCCCCATCTGATGTCTTTATTTCACACAAATTTGTCCTTCAATCAAATAAACCGCCTTCAGGCAGTCAGTTCCCCCGAGGACTGGGTGCTCCTGCAGCGTGGGATCACCCTGGCCCGTGTCTGGGACAGACCGGGTCGGAGCCGCCGCGGTGCTGGGGCCTGAGGTGCTGGGGCCACGGCCTGGGCGGGAGGGGAAGGACGGGAACCAGGCCCGCGGGCCAGAGCTCACGACTGGCGCCACCTGCCCGCCCCTGGAGTCCCGCTTCCCCTGCAGCCCGCAGCCCGCAGCCCGCAGCCCGGCCAGGCGGGTCCACCCAGGGAAGTCCGCATCCGCGTCCGCGGTTCGGCCTCCCGGCGCCGCCACGTCCTCCAAGCCTTGTTTTCGCTGAAAATGCCCGGCTTTGTCTCAGGCTGGAGTGGGGGCGCTTGGGCAGCGCATTAAAATTCCTGGCGCCCCAGCCTCGGCCTCAGTGTCTCCCCGGAGACTGCACTTTCGCTATTACTGTCAAGTACCCTTGACTCTTTATTTTTGCCCTTTTATCTATTACAACTAATTCGAGTTCTTTTGCCCTTTTCAGTCTAAGACGTGGCTTTCCGCAAAGCCTCCCCCTGCCAGCGGGCTCTCGGAGCGCCGAGCCTTTAGAAATTGAGGGGTTTACTGTCAAAATGAAAATTTCACTTCAAATTATCTTGGCTGATGCTCGCTCGCCAGGCCGGGGGCTCCCGCCGCAGCCTTTTGACAGGCACATCAGCGGCGAGCTTCCGAATCTCGATAATATCATCCAAGAGAGCGAAAGTCAATACGGTGACAGCGCGCGGGCGGATACAATCCAATTACCGCGCGCGGCCCGGCTGCCCGGGCGCGGGGCCAGTCCCTCCGCAGCGCACGGGGACCGCTCCCTCTGCTCAAGGTCTGGGCTTCAAGGTCCCACCGCTCAGAGTTGGGGCTCTGGCCGAGGTCCGGCCATCCGGGTCTCACCACTCAGGGTGCCCCCACAGCCCAGGTTGCCGGCTTCTGGCCGCGCGGTTCCCTCTCTCGGGTGCGTAAATTCTCCCCAAGACCGGATCCCACCAGCCACTCAGGCCTGCTTTGGAGCGCCCCGGGCCGGACAGCCCAGGCCTCGCGTGTCCCTCAAAAACTGCCCGCCGGCCCCCAGAGAGGACCCGCCCCTCCAGCTGGTGTCTCCGCGTCTGTCAATCTGACCGCGTCCCGGGCACGGGCCGCCATTCCTCATCGCTGCACCTAAGAGCTGCTGCACTTTTGCAGGCTCGCTGGCCTGTGGATCCGTCCTTCCTCGGTGGAATGAGGCCCAGTAGGGTCTTAGCAGAGGCCTTTCGGGCGAGAGGCCAGACCCTACTCCAGGGAGCAGTGCACTGGCACGCCGCCCTCCAGGGCCCTGGAGCGGGGCCAGGTGCCTGCGGGATGGGGGTGAGGGGACCCGGTTCCTGAGGGAAGCCGGACGCTTGCGGAGGCAGGGCAAGGCCGCATCCTCCTATCCCAAATGGTTCTTCGGGTTTTGTCTCTAATCCTTACGTAGCCCAGCGTGGGGTCTGAGGTCTACAGAGCACTTCCCGTCCTGGAGCCAAAGCTCCCGGCAGGGCAGGGGACCTTTGCTGGCGAGGCACCAGGTCCCAGAAGACCGAGGAGGCGGGGTTAGGAGCCAGGTGGGGCCCTGGAAGGCCGCACACTCCCGCAGCACAACACGATCCAAGGGCCGACTTCAGAGGAAAGGTGTCAAGGTTGTGATGTCTCCCTCCCTCCCCCACGAGGGCACAGTCCCAGGGAGTTTAGAACGTTTAAAAGCTATTCAAATTAATCTAGCCAAAGAAACGCCCATCGACTAAAAATTCAGGAGCCTGGTAATGGGGAGGGGGCGGGGAGAGTTTAAAAGTTTCGGGTCTCTATCATGTACTTCTATCAGAATCCTGAACGTGTATTTTTTTTTTTAATAGCGTTACCAAACCCTGTCTTAGGCTCTGCAAGCAACTTCCTGGGGTCTCTGGTCAGTACCCTCCCCAACTCCTCCCCTTGGTGATCAGCACCTGTCCCCCAACAGGTTCTCAAATCCCTACCAGGGCACTGTGTTCATTTTGCAATGCAAACATCATCACTCGGTTTTATTGGTTTTGTTATATCAGCCTCTGACGCAGGCAATCACTGGTGTGGACATACATTTAAAAAACATAATTTTATCAAGTTAAGAGTGTGCAATAGTGTAAATTCGGGGAAGTGTTTCGGGTGAGAATTATGTGCTGAGGATGAAAGCAGGTCAACAGGCTGAGGGCTCCTCAGACAGGGCACGGGCATGCCTCACACCCAGAAGACAGCGACACAAACAAAGCCTCGGAACTAAACCGGCCTCTCCATGTAAACTTTTGGACGTAAACTTTATGCTTCAGGGCGGCTGCCTTCTGCTCTGGGCGCAGCCCCATCCCACCGGCCCCCAGCCCCCGAGTTTGGGAATGGCCAGGGTGGTCGGTGGACCTGGTGCGACAGATCTAGGGGTTTGTCCGTGGTTCCTGGAGACAGAGTTCAGATCCTCTCTCCAGGGTGGGTGGGCGGCCTGAGCATCGCTGCGCTCTCGCCTGGCTTTGGAAACTTGTTAGAAAAAGTCTTTGACGTGCGAGCCTCCCTCTTGGGCCCTGTGGTCCCGCGGAGTTAAGCGCAGAAGGGCTTCCCACCAGCTTTGGGCAGGGCCAGCAGCTCCTTGGTGGCGCCCACCGCAGGGGAGTCCTGGGGCGTCGCCTGGAGGGAAGGTGCGGGCCAGGGGTGACGTCAGCACGTTGGA